TATTATTATTATTATTATTTAACTGACCAGAGATGGTTAGAGAGAGGGAGAAAGAGAGAAAGCAAGCTGCCAGGTCTGGGACTTGAACCACTCTTGGCCATGTGGTGGAACTCTTAACACCTTAACCACCATGCTACATGCTGGCTCCTACAATTAAGTCTTTTACTGCTGTTTTAGTAGGCTTTAATGTGAGAATGTAAAATTATATGCATGTTTGAAATTTGCCATCTTAATCAACCCTGATTATTTAAATGGTTTTTTGTATCCTATCTCTTGGACTTGACAAAACTTATTAAAGTTAGCTCTTTCCATCTCGTTTTTAAAAATTTTTAAAAAGAATTATTTTATTTTTAATTTGACTAGAGAGAGAGTGAGAAAGGGAAAGTGAGAAAGCAGGGCTCCAGGTCTGGGACTTGAACTGTGGTTGACCATGTGGGAATTTAGCACCACCTGCCACCAGCCAGCCCTGTTTTGTATTTTAGTTTGCCAGAAGGCACATGCCCTCACTACGGGGAGACAGAGAGGGAGAGGGAGGAAGCACCCTCCAGTGGTGCATGGGCACTCTGCACTTCCTCCTCTTCCACCTTGCCATTTCTTAACCACTAAGCCTCGAGCCTGGCCCTTGTTTCGTGTATTGTAAGTCACATTAATAATACACTGAGTAGACTGCTTGAGACTCTGGCCTGAAGGATCTGTCAGTGAATCCAGAATTCGTGAATAACAAGGTTGATGGTTGTTTACATTTGTCCTTGTAGGAAATTGAGAAGGTTTCTGAGTACCCAGCAGTGATTGTGGAGCCAGTTCCGAGTGCCAGACTAGAGCAGGGCTATGCAGCCCAGGTTCTGGTGTATGACGATGAGACTTACATGATGCAAGATGTGGCAGAAGAACAAGAAGTTGAGACCGAGAATGTGGAAACAGGTAGACCTCTCATGAACTATTCATTCTTGGTCATTTGCTCCTTTTGTCAGCTTGAACGTTATCATTGCAAGATGAATCATGGGTTGAACCTCTTTTTATGCTGTTTAGTATAGCTTGGAAACCAGTGAAAGATCTCTGTCAAAGAGAATTCTGTAGATGAAACAGAGTTCCTTCCACATTATAATTACAGCTCCATAATGATAAAACTATTTTAGGATTTTTTTTGCCTCCTCCCTGGGAGTGTGAACACTCAGTAGCTGTTCTTTACTTACAGAAGTCAATAGGCTAGTCTTCGAAAAAGCAAAGATAAAACAAAATTAGAAAGAGATGTTTATAAGCGAAGGCATGGTAAAGCCAGTGGTTTGATGATTTATAGGCTTTACAAAGTTTTGATTTTTAGCCTTTTCTTAAGTTCATTTCAAAGAAAGACTCAGCTCTAATAACACCTTGGACTTTTCCTCTACTATTTAGTTTTATACAATGATTAATGGTTCTAATAAATGTATAAATTGAAAAAAAAAAGTCAATAGGCTAGTATGTGAGGGTAACATTTTTCTTAATTCAAAAAACACGTACAGTATTCTTTTTCCACAACCGATTAACGGTTTCTTTGAATCAGTATTGATAGGGCGGTATAACTTCCTTTTTCCTTTTTCTCTTTTTCTTTTTTTCTAAGGTCAGCATCTTTGTAGTGGTCTATCAGATTCCTCTTCCCTTTTTGTCTTCTTAGAAATCTTGGTAGTTTGGTCTATGGTGCAGTTTGTTAACTGAGGATTAGCATGTACAGTTCTTGGAAAATTTTGTTCATTTTTGCCATTGCCCACAAAGAAAACAATATTTTATTAGAAGGATTATAGTGACTATCACATAATTAACACAGAAATTTATTATTAGTTTTAACAGAAAATCCTCATACTTGGTTTACGACAGTGATTAAAAAGAAAAAACCTTTGCGCTCTTTATATGTATTTCTGTGTACGAAGCAAACTCCTGTGGTTAACGCGAATGGTGGATGCCTTTCTGAGGCTCAGTAGCACTCCTGTGACTACCTGCTCCTTCCAGCGTAAAGCTCTGCTTCCTCTGATTTTATTTTTTCTTGACCCGAGGGGTTGCTTGTCTGAGCCGCGCTGAGAGCAGGCCCCGCAATCCCCAGGGGATGTGGTAATCAGTTCCTTTTACCGAGACAAGTAGTCAAACCTGTTCATACTGTAGGCTGGGGTGGCTCTTGATTTCTAGTAGATCATGCGTGTCTTTTCATGAGAGTTTGGAGAGTTGGCTAGTCTGCAGCTCCAGTGGCAACCATGAATGTTCTTAAGAGAATAAGTAAGACAGTCACAGGCCGTCACACCGTTACACAGGATGGTGACATGGAGCGTGCGTTGTGACCGATGTCCTTATAGGGGCACAACGAAACAGCACTCTTAGCACGAGAAAAGAAGTGCGGTAGCTTCAGTTGAGTGAAAAATGTAGAACCTGTTGGACATTTCTGGATCACTTGATGAAAAAGAAATGAAGAAGACTGTGATTTTGGTAACAAATTTGAAATGAAAAAACAAACAAAAACTACAGTGCCAAATTTGTATACATAGGTAAGATGTTTATCAAATCTTCTCTTACAATACCAGGACAGGTCAGCACAACCTCATTGTTTGTATACCCGGCAATAAATGTTTCATTGATTTAAATTAATTCAGGTAAAAGCAGCTCCAAATTGGAAGTGAATGTATTCCACTTAAGAGATTTTGTTTGCTTAGGCCTCGTGAACTCTGAGAGTGAGGATATCATTTGCAGGGCAGAGATATGAGTGATTGTGATGTAGAAAAGGAAATTTGGCAAGTCTAGGTAATAGAGCAGTTCATTGTGATTTTGATTTTTTTTTTGAAGCAGTTTTTGAATAGTTAATAGTTTTTAGATTTATTGGGAAAAAAAAAAAGAGAAAGTCATGCTGTGTTTTTGCATAGAAAAAATGATTTTCTTTCTCGATGACCTAATATTTTTCTTTAACACTAAGAGACTATGTTGTTAGCAAATCAGTTACGTTATTATTGTTTTTTTGCCTCCTCCCTGGGAGTGTGAACACTCAGTAGCTGTTCTTTACTTACAGAAGTCAATAGGCTAGTCTTCGAAAAAGCAAAGATAAAACAAAATTAGAAAGAGATGTTTATAAGCGAAGGCATGGTAAAGCCAGTGGTTTGATGATTTATAGGCTTTACAAAGTTTTGATTTTTAGCCTTTTCTTAAGTTCATTTCAAAGAAAGACTCAGCTCTAATAACACCTTGGACTTTTCCTCTACTATTTAGTTTTATACAATGATTAATGGTTCTAATAAATGTATAAATTGAAAAAAAAAAGTCAATAGGCTAGTATGTGAGGGTAACATTTTTCTTAATTCAAAAAACACGTACAGTATTCTTTTTCCACAACCGATTAACGGTTTCTTTGAATCAGTATTGATAGGGCGGTATAACTTCCTTTTTCCTTTTTCTCTTTTTCTTTTTTTCTAAGGTCAGCATCTTTGTAGTGGTCTATCAGATTCCTCTTCCCTTTTTGTCTTCTTAGAAATCTTGGTAGTTTGGTCTATGGTGCAGTTTGTTAACTGAGGATTAGCATGTACAGTTCTTGGAAAATTTTGTTCATTTTTGCCATTGCCCACAAAGAAAACAATATTTTATTAGAAGGATTATAGTGACTATCACATAATTAACACAGAAATTTATTATTAGTTTTAACAGAAAATCCTCATACTTGGTTTACGACAGTGATTAAAAAGAAAAAACCTTTGCGCTCTTTATATGTATTTCTGTGTACGAAGCAAACTCCTGTGGTTAACGCGAATGGTGGATGCCTTTCTGAGGCTCAGTAGCACTCCTGTGACTACCCGCTCCTTCCAGCGTAAAGCTCTGCTTCCTCTGATTTTATTTTTTCTTGACCCGAGGGGTTGCTTGTCTGAGCCGAGCTGAGAGCAGGCCCCGCAATCCCCAGGGGATGTGGTAATCAGTTCGTTTTACCGAGACAAGTAGTCAAACCTGTTCATACTGTAGGCTGGGGTGGCTCTTGATTTCCAGTAGATCATGCGTGTCTTTTCATGAGAGTTTGGAGAGTTGGCTAGTCTGCAGCTCCAGTGGCAACCATGAATGTTCTTAAGAGAATAAGTAAGACAGTCACAGGCCGTCACACCGTTACACAGGATGGTGACATGGAGCGTGCGTTGTGACCGATGTCCTTATAGGGGCACAACGAAACAGCACTCTTAGCACGAGAAAAGAAGTGCGGTAGCTTCAGTTGAGTGAAAAATGTAGAACCTGTTGGACATTTCTGGATCACTTGATGAAAAAGAAATGAAGAAGACTGTGATTTTGGTAACAAATTTGAAATGAAAAAACAAACAAAAACTACAGTGCCAAATTTGTATACATAGGTAAGATGTTTATCAAATCTTCTCTTACAATACCAGGACAGGTCAGCACAACCTCATTGTTTGTATACCCGGCAATAAATGTTTCATTGATTTAAATTAATTCAGGTAAAAGCAGCTCCAAATTGGAAGTGAATGTATTCCACTTAAGAGATTTTGTTTGCTTAGGCCTCGTGAACTCTGAGAGTGAGGATATCATTTGCAGGGCAGAGATATGAGTGATTGTGATGTAGAAAAGGAAATTTGGCAAGTCTAGGTAATAGAGCAGTTCATTGTGATTTTGATTTTTTTTTTGAAGCAGTTTTTGAATAGTTAATAGTTTTTAGATTTATTTTTTTGAAGCAGTTTTTGAATAGTTAATAGTTATGTTTATTGGGGAAAAAAAAAAAGAGAAAGTCATGCTGTGTTTTTGCATAGAAAAAATGATTTTCTTTCTCGATGACCTAATATTTTTCTTTAACACTAAGAGACTATGTTGTTAGCAAATCAGTTACGTTATTATTGTTTTTTTAAACATTTATTTATTTAATCACCTATTTGTTTGTTGTGATTTTCGGGCTGCTAGGCCTAGGACTTGAACCTTAGACGGCCATGTGGCAGTCTGGTGCCTCAACCACCATGCCACCTGCCTCAGTTATGTTATTCCATATTTTTGTTTTTATTTTTAAGGCTTTTGCCATGCGGTGTGTGCGCTTGCTGGAGAGTGACAGAGAGAGGGAAAGTGAGAAATCACCCCTCAGAGGGGAATGGCCATGCCGCATCCCTTTTCCTCCATTCTTCTCTTGGGATTTTGGACATACACACATGTGCCTCTCTTGATTTTCAATCACTGTTGGTCTGAGACTCTAACTGTGTTCGGCAATGTGAAAGTCCAGTGCTTTAACCACTATGCCACCTGCTGGCCCCGGTTACATTATTCTAAAATGGTATAAAAGTACCTCAGAGGTTTATCTTCCAGGGGCTGGCAGATGGCATGGTGGTTAAGGTGCTGGACTCTCACATGGCTGACGGTGGTTCAAATCCCAGACCTGGTGGCTTGCTTTCTCACTTTCCCTTTTTCTATCTCTGTCTCAGTCTCTCTCCAGTCAAATTTAAAAATAAATAATAACGAAATTAAATTAAAAAATGAAGAAAAAAGTTCATATTCCATATTTAATTACATCCTGGCTTATCTTATAGGTCCTAGCATATATTTATAAGGATTATTAATTTTCATAGATTAGTTTTAGTTTTGGGTCTGGGACTCAAACCATGGTTGACTATTCGGGAGTCCAGCAACGTATGCATTATGCCTTCTGCTGGTCCTTATAGATTAATTTTGAAATCACCTACTTTAAGCTTAATTTTGTTTCTGTTTAAAGAATTAAATACTTAAAAAAAAAAAAAGTAGAGGTTTTTGCCTTAGGGTATGTGCTCGCTGGAGAGAGACACAGTGAGAGAGAGAGTGAGAAATCACTCCCCAGGGAATGGCCTTGCTGCAGTCTCTTCTCCATTCTCCTCCAGGGATCTTGGGCACACACGCACACATTCCCGGCCTGAGTTTCAAGCTACCTGGTTGGGGACTCAAACCATGGTTGGCCATGTGGGAGTCCAGTGATAACCACTATGCCATCTGCTGTTCCCTTAAAGGTATTTCTCAATGAGTTAAATCTGAATGAGTTGATTTTTCTGACATCTGGAGCCATGTACATTTGAATAAAGACTGTTATTCTTTATCCTAAAGTATGTTCCCTATTAGGTATTGCTTAGGATTAGCTTCATTTCTTGTGATATTAGTTTGAGTTTACATTCCAGATGTAAGTAGGTTTTGGAGAAGCTGACCAGGGTTAAAAGTGGAGTATTTATAAGATGGCAGTTTTCATTTGGCGACCTGGGGGGATCGAGATCCATATAGACTAAGATTTCCTTGTGTACATCTAGGAAATGCTTCAGGAATTCTTTCATATTATAGTTTAGATTATGTCAGTTTAAAGAGCGTTCAAAATTGGATTTATTAACCTTGATGTCAGTTCTCTGCACGTTCGCATGAAAGTTTTCGTCCTTTTACTCCTGTGTACCTATTCATATATGTCCACCCCAGAGACAGTGTTCCCATGTGACCAGGGAGGAGCACTAAAATCACGTCATGATTTGCATCTGGCCAACTGCGTTATTGGTGCATAAAATGATTTTTCATTTTGTTAGTAGTAATTACAGGCTCTTTTTCTTCACCTTTTTATAGCCTAAAAATGCTCATTTTTCTCACAGACCTTATGTGTAATAGTAATTTTCTCTTAAATTTTGTAGGAGAAAACAAATATATTTAGATACTCTTAAGATGGGTGTATTCAGCAAAACCTACACTTACTGACTTGTGATGATACCTGCAGATTAGTGATCTTAAAGAGCTTTTGAGGTGTAGAAATGAAACGTGGAGGAAGGCTGGTCTTGACTAGCTGCTATGAAGTGGCTCCCCGTTGCTGCAGACATCATTTCCGGGGACCTGCTGGATAGAGTAATGGAGTTTCCAGGCTTCCCTTCAGAGATTTGAAATGCAGTTTTTTATCACTTAAAAAAGTTTTATATATATATATATGTGTGTGTGTATATATATATGTATATATATATATATATTTTTTTTTTCTGTAACGAGGCTG